TGATTTTTGTTTCAATCGCAAGGTGAGAACGATTTCATTTGCGCCCATAAGTAGACAACAATGAATAATCATAAACAACACCCTTTACAAAAATGGGTTTCACACTCGAAAGAAACATCCGCTAGTAGTTGACATAACACTACTATGCCCTTCATATATGCCATAGTCAATTATTATTATATCCTCTTATTGATAAACATGACGCTTGATCGGATACGAATAGACAGATTTTCGGTACACTTTTGTCATAATGAAACCAAAGTGTATGTTCCTTGAGACATTGTTACTTTGCCATAGTGTTTCAATTCTACATTTTATGTCGCAAAGTCCAAACATCTATGAAAAATCCTGTTAATAGTTAGATATATAACCGTTATATGCAGTTCGGACGGCCAATCATGATGGTTCATTACATCCGATCTATTTTGCACGGACTTCCAAATTGGCTGCAAAAAGTGCATCATCGTCAATGGACAAGTATAGATCGCGCGCGCGCGTCTATGATTATTAGCCAAATGCGAAGACATGATGCATCGGTAGCAATGAAATGAGCAGTAATTTTACTTTTTCAGGTATACGAACTTCATAAGCGACATTTACTTCTCTGCCATTTGCTGCAAGTCGTAAATTAATACACGTTCTACATATGTATCCATTTATATCTTGAATGTATTTGATGCTTTCGAAATTCAACTTCGTGAACCCGCAACGGAAAGCAGCATTACGGCTTACTAGAAATTTGTTTCTGCCGAAAGGACGCGTAGATTACGTCTGCACTTATAAACTCGTATTACGTACAATACTATCTCAGCACGTCAAGGACTTTTATTTTTAGATTTATGCGTGTATCATGGCAAAACCGATTCCGATTATATTGCCTGGATACAAATAGAGGCGCGTTGCCAACGGGTTCCGCTCTAGTGAAAACAGAACGACAACTGCTCACGCCATCCTTTTCGCTTGTGAATTGGCTGCCATGCAATCAGTTTGTCTTGCACGTCATCCTAACGTGTATCCTTTCACGTCGAGTCTCGTGGCAAACACCTCGTGGCCACGGTTCGAGGAGATAAGCGGCGTCTTCATCTCTTCTCACCTGGTCTTTACCATTACGCTATCTGCATCATAAATAGCCTACCTTGTTTTGCATGCCTTCATGGCGGTAATGCTTGCCAAAATATTACCGATCGGAGAGGCACCATTAGCGTCCATTAACTTGATGTGTCAATTCTCTATTAGCGGTAACAGGACGCGACGGCGGCAACAGGCGCAGCGGATGGATGGAACACAGACAGGCAGGCAGGCAGGCAGGCACGCAGGCACGAGTACGATAAGCACGAATAATAACGAAAAGGAAAGGAAAGGGAAAGCCATTCTGTGCCTAGACGTGTATACTAATTACATTTAGGCTACAAAGAGGCTAGACACTTGTTATTGAGCTGTCTCTGAAGCGGACACAGTCTGTTGGGCGCCAGCCTTGGATGATAGCGTCAGTGATGAAATGTGATGGTTAACGGCGGGATCGAGCCTAAGACTCGGAACATTTGTTTTATTAGGATCGACCTTGGCGGCCATCCATAGAACGTACAGCACAATAAGAAAGGGAGAAGTGGAGTTTAAGGCGGGGGGTAAACTGCAACTCGACGTAATACTTAGATAAAACGCATAATTCAATCATGTTCTGTAATTGTGCGCGAAATGGAATTATTCTGTGCATGGTGATAGCATGAACCGTTTTCTTATAATGTCGTTAGGTAGAAGTTTTGTACGCTATGGCCAAGTTATAGAAGTTGCGTGTTCTCTACAAGCGTATGGTCGTTTGGATTACGATCGGCTGCGCGTTGATTGCGATTAACTTATTTTCATATACGTAATTTTCTTACACTTACCTTTAGCCCTGCGGAAAATTCGATCGTGTCACCGTCACCAAGAGTTACTATTATAGAATTGTCTATAGCTTATATTTCCGTTGGTCAATACTGCTGCTCGGAAATATGTTACGAGTTAAACAATCCAGGATTGTTTTTGTCAAAAGGCTGACACGTAAAGTTGTACTGAGTTCAGATACGTATATAAATATTACGGAGAAGCATGGTTTTGCGTCAACATTCTGTTGAAGGCCTTTGAGATAATTAGGCTTAGTCAGCTGGCATTGCATATCATTTGCATCGCTGCCTGGACATCAAAATCCCCTTTTCCTATTTGCGAAAACTATTCTAGTGCCAATCGGTTCGAAATGTAGTAATCGTCGCGTTTAATGCGCACCACACACCGCTGTTTTAGCTCAGAGCCTCGTATAGTCTGCCCAGAACTCTGGCCAGTAACGTATCAACAGACAGAGAATGGACAAGTTCGAAAATTTCTAAACGTCCGGTCGTCAGCCACAGTGTAGCAAACGGGTTTGTATTAAAAGTGTATAAAATTCCCAAGCGGCCAATACCGTAATAACGGACGTTGTCGAAAAAGCGTTATCTATTAATTATGCCAGTTAGTGTGTATCTTTCGATGTTACACGTTAGCATTTTCCAGCGGAGATATGCATATTTACTTCTCGTTATCATACCGGTACGATGCATTTCGGTCTTGCACAAAAATACAGTTGATGCAATTGGCATGCGGTAAATAAAACTTATGGGTGAATACAATGAAACGGCAGAGTGTCATTTTCTAACGAAACGGTTATTGTAAAAATGCTTCTTTTAAAAAAAAAAGAAAAAAAAAAGAAAAAAAAAAGATCTTCTAAAAAGATGATCCGTGATGCTACCGTAATGTCCGCTTGAATCGGTGGAACGACGTCGGGAACGATGACATCAGTATCATTTACAACGACCGCCCTTTCATAGCATAGACGCTTACACTTGCTTCAGGCACCCTCCGCTGCAAAAGCGTGACAAACTATAATCTCATAAGCGTCCTGACGTGAAAAAAGCGGGAATCCTATTGTAGTGGTCAGGCAACGAGAGCCAAGTGTCACGGAGCAGCATTATTTGTTAATACGAAATACATCGTCTGCGCTAGGTTCTAATGCCATCAGCTGACAGCCTTCTGGTAGCATACATAATGCTTAACGCATAGTTATAAACGACCAGAATACGTTTGATCTAATCCAGAACAGAAGGAAGTGCAGAAGAGAAGTATTTAGTAATTTGTATATATTCAGAAGAAAAGATAATGCAACATAAAAAAAAATCCACTTTGGCATAACGAGGGTACGTCATCAACACCATATTTAGCTGGAAATATCACATGATAAGTGCTCGATGCTCCAAATTGAGATAGCATGAGTTCGGACAGATTTTAATTGAAAATTATGTTTAATTCGACTTAAGTATAATATAACAATCATATCGATATAAGCATTATGAGTATAATTTGATCTTGGGTCGACAGGAACCGCCACGGTATTTGTTGGAAAAGTGTCGCAGCTTTCAGATGCTATGGTATTACCTAAAATCTACCTGAGATAATGCAGGTTCTCCAGCGCACGTTCTAAGCTGCACATTAGACAGATACCGAAAGCATTGTATATTCCAATGCGAATGAGCGAGGCTGGAACCTTTAACAACGAACATTCAAATAAAGAATAAAAAATGGGTTTGTGCTAGGCAGCGTCGCAGCTCCTCGAGATACAAGACTTCAATATGCGCGGTGTACACTGACGAAATTCGACATTACGCTTCAAGCACAGGAAGCAATGTTGGAGAGTTCAGCCTTAAAGAAGACTTCGTAGGACATCGACATTGACAAAATGTATAAGTCTTTAGATAGTTATAGCAGTAGTATCAAGTACAGTTTAGTATTTTCAACAATACGCAATGAAAAAGCAATCACGGTTGTCTGCAGAATTAAACGGAGTTGGACTTCAGACTCCCATATTCAGCCACCATTTCTTGAGATTTCGCAAAAATACGTTGTGCCATGAATGCTCAGAAAATAATATTTCGGGTAAACCGAAGTGAATATCTTCATAAGCGATAAGGCGTGTTCCTCAAGAAAGATTGACTAGGCAAATTGAACTCCTGGCACCAGGCCTGCAACACCCAATCGCCTGGATCCCGGCATATATTTCTGAAAAACACAAGCGTGGCCCTAAAAAACAATTTAATTTGTATCGAGCATTTAATAATGGCTTCAAATTGTGCCAATAAGGTTTTGTCACTATTTGGCCGGTTATGGTGCGACCGTTATCCTATATTAGCATATTATTAAAATACTGCGGAAAACTAATATAGCATGTATGCCCGTTGTGTCCGTCAATTAATCAATAATAATCATTTCGCTAATAGAATGGTAGGGTGATGTGTGGAAGCGAGATACTGTGTATCATCACGCATGTCCTCGTTGTTTACCTCATTATAAGTATTGTTAATAATAAATTTTTATGAGTCAATTTTCTCCGTAGCTTTTCGATTTTTTCCCATTTGCTCATTTTCTCAACGGAACTCGTAATGAAACGTTTGGCCATCTTGTCTACATATATATATGCATGGGCACGAAAAAATTACATAGAGAAGTATATGCTGTCGGTTTCCAGAACCTGCTATAACATGCTATAGACGAACTCCATGCTCCTCGAAAAGTAAAGTCGATAAGCCAATCCCAGGGACCGATGTGTATTCGCCCGTAGTACTTAATGTTCCTCAGGAGTTTCAAGACGATGAAGTGTATAAGAATCTCAAAAAAAAAACAAGCTATTTGCCTTGCAGGAGAATATCGTTCTTTTTGTAGACACAGACACCCCGGGTGTCATGCTTCAGGATTAAACGGAGAGTATTTCGGTTCTCGCACTTAGTTAGACATTTTTTCTAACTAGCTATATGGTACTTCAGCAATAACTGAAAAAAATCCCACTTAAAGATAACGAATACTTTAATTCAACATACTATCACAATGCACAGCTGGATTTGGATAGCCTGAAGGAATCAAGCTTTATTGTTTGATCGGAAAAGAAATATAAAAGTTGTGATTACCCCTCAAAATGACAACAAGATGATGTCTCTTACTTGATAGCTTCAACCATGCTTAGGCCCATATGCACGCAAAGCACCGCATGGTCACGTCTTTGCTCGGGTGCACCTGAGATACAGTAATAGCAATCCCCGAGAATCTTGATCCGAAGTTGATGATATTTCTGGAAGCAAAGAGATCACATGGAAGAAAGTGAAGTTAATAGCGAGTTCATGCCCTTCTACAGAAATGTTATCTCTGTTTTGATATAAAATACCAAATGGGAACTATCGAGGTTAGCTAATGAGATGCTCCCGTGTTAGCAGCTAACGTTGATTTGGTTAGGTTTTTTTATACCAATCGAGAAAAAAATGGTGTTTTCTCTTTTAGGAAATAGAATCATTTTTCTCAAGTACATGATCAACATTTTTCCAGCCGATTATGTGTATATTTTGTTCTTTACTCGTGCTCCTATCAGAGTAATAAATAGGAAAGGTTTATTTAGTTTTGCACGCAAACAATGCTTATGGCTTCATAGTTAATTCTGCGGATTTTCTTCCTTAATATAAAAACTGTAGGCACAGAACTTTAGCGCGGGGAGTATAACTTAGCAAAATATAAGTACTGGTTTTAGACACAAATACGTAAATACTTGTTTTTGGTTCAAAGCAAACCTACATATGAGTTTATTTCAGAGACGCTTAGCGGCTGAATCCAGGTTGCGCTGGTTGTATTCGAAGCTGTCAATGGTAATGTGCAATGTATCTTCGACCTCGGATGGCCGTCGCGTAGGATGACGGACGGCACTGAGATCGTTACTTTATCGATATATTATTATGATAGCGAGGTTTTTAATCTACACTTGTTGTTTAATATATAAGACACGAATATTTGTTCATAATAATTCTCCACGGTTTGACGTCCATTGACAGTATTTAGAAGGGGAAGATTAGAAGAGACGTAGAGGTGGAGCTTGACTTGTCCAAAAAAGCGTTTGTCTTCCGAGGTTAGTTGAATAAAAATCTTTGTCACGATAGTTGGCCAAGCTATAAATACACGATTGTTCTCGGAATAGGTGTTCTTAGAGCGAGCACATCTCTTTGCAAACATGACTGTCGTGAATTCTCTACAAAACTGCATGCGCTTTCAGCATCGAGGTTAGGTTTTAAGGTTGAAAGAGGTGACATCGGCTCGGCTTGGGCTGTTACACTATACTTACATATATAATAAATGTTAATTAACTACTATAAATGTACTATATTGTATATAACAAACTGGGAGCCGCGTAGTTGCTTTTCATGTATTAGCCGGTCAGCATTAGCTTAGGAACATGCTGCATAGGTCGTAATAACAGAAAAAGTGGTTATCGTGGCAACACGAGCTTTAGGCAGCAGTACTATTGTAGTAGGAGCTAAACAGCAAAAAATGGAAGACTGATGATTTAAACGAAAACGTCGGCGATAGGGTTCTGAATTGTCTCGCATGATACCCTCATATAGGTGTAGCATGTCTATCCCAAATACGCATCGGTTTTTAACATAGCAAATCAACCATTTTAATGATGAGTGCGTAAAATCGTAGTTCTTTGAGATTATGTAGAAAAAATTCTAATTTATATTCCTTCAATGTTGGATGACTAATCAGAAATCTTGGTATTATTATTATTATTATCGGAGACGGCCAACTCGGGCCCAATTTGCTGATGCAAAACCGCTTACGTCGCTCTACACAACTACAGGACAATCTACGCTGTACAATTTTTCCGCCTAATATATCAGTGAGTAATATCTAATACATTCATCCAACCGACATAGTCTGTTTGAGAATAACGACAGGGATCAAGGACGCTTAAACGATTTTGCCAGGTGTGGCTGACCGATGCCAAGGTGACCATTGCCTGTTGCTAAGGGAAGTGGACATTTCCCGGAGACGGAACTTGCACTAACTTAAATTATATTAATAACAAATTGACCAGAAACATTATGATAAACGTTTTTTAATATTGTATATATAAATCTTTATATAAAAGATTATATATATATATATATAGATTCGTTGGGAATAATTTAAGGAAAATAGTCTTGTTGCGTAAAAGGGTATGCATAGAAGAGCGCTGCTCGGTTGACAGAAGTAAAATTATTATAGTTGGTGGCCGGGTAGCAGGCGCTGTGGCGTCCGAAGCTTGAGCAAGGCGTTTCTAGAAGGACTATGTCAATTGCCGAATTATATTGATTCAGCCGTATTAATTCGATGATGGATGACTGTCATAATGAAGTTTGTAAACTTCATTGAAACAATTGCACCGTATTTCTAGATTGTGATTATAGTTACTGTATTGCTCTTGCAGGTATTGAAATCTAAAGTCATCTCTGAAAATTGTATAGCTAGATAGACATACTATATAAAAAAAAAAATAGTCAGTATTCTATGACTTCCATCACATTGTCGAAACGGGCTGAAGCTTAATAGGAAACGCAGCTTATCTTTACATGTCTATTTTGATATTCATTGGTTAATATGCCGCTGACATGTTCTTATTCGATTTTCTCTAATCTTTCAGGTATTCAGGTTCAGTCTTTCACGGCTGTATGCTACAGAGCAGTGCGATGTTCGGCAAAGATTGAAGGTAGCCTCTCATTTAGATGGCTGTACAATCTAGCACGTGGCAATTCGGTGTAGCTAGAAGACATGCATAGTTCTATATCCTTGTGTGTTGCATATTCTGCCACTGCACTCGATATTGACGTTGCCAAAAAAAAAATAAATAACATTACCTACGTTAACAGCTGCCAGCAATAGCGACCTAGAGAGAGAGTGAGTTTGGGTCCTCATGGATCATTATCAACGTCCTGCCGGAATCGGCTCCACTGTTCTACATGAACAGCAGCTTCTTCAGTATTTGAAGCAATTACTATCATCGTCGGGCCGTACTCTTGCTAAAAGTAACCCCACCTAAATGGCAACTCCACCCAATAGTCGCGAAGGAAGCTCTCGTTCAACGAGCGACTACCTGGAGTCAGTGTTGCAGCGATTGACCTGTCGAACGATGTGGGCTCCTTTCGAGCCTGATACCATGTGTCTAACTAAATATGGTACATAGTATATGATCAACTGTAAGGCATGAGAAGCCGTTAAAGGGCCTATATAAGAGTTGGATTTATGACAGAGCTTAAGGATATTTAGAACAAAGAACGTAGAGTATGTATGAGTGTTTAATGTAACGAGACGGACAACTTCGAGAGTTTTATTTTTAGAAAATCTATTCGTAGCTTTTAGTTTATTGGGTCGTTCGATGAGCTTTCCAGTCTAACCCGGGTCTCGTATGCCTGAAACGAGAATAATTTTAACCTCAAGCTTTAAGAGCTATGTTTGAGTCATTGCTGTCCTATGGAGCGTAGGGTTTTGAATCGAGCGAATCATTTGATAAATATCACTGCCTAGGACTGCTGAAGAACGAGTTTCAGCCAAAACCTTGAGTACAGATTTCGTCAGAGAACCATAAATATAAAATTGTTAATATAAAAAAATTCTGTCCAGGTAATTCGGTCAGGATGTAGGCTGTAACATCAAAACCGAATAACCGTCGTCGCCCCAAGCTCACCTTCTTATACTTGACTCTCTCGACCTTCCTTAAGAATAGTTTATCCGACTTGGCAATCCTTATATAGTAAAAGAACTGTCCACCTCAAAGGGTTGCCAATATAAAGCTTTAGTATGATGTTGGATAGCATGAAATAGAGTTTATGGCTTTCCTCTTACAGCACAAGCAAACCAAATTCACATAGGACTTTTTCGCTAGGCAGCTATTCCATTGATAGTTTTGATTAAAAAAAAAAAAAAAAAAAAGACGTTTGATTATCTACAAATATGTAATTTTATAGAAATTTTGAAAGAGCATATACGTATACGCAGAAGGTGGCTAACCTAGAAGGGCGTATCCGCAGAGCCATTCGACATCGTTAAGAGGATTGTTAGACCTCAGTGGCCTTACTTTGTTAATAGATATTCGAAAATAATCATCTATTAGCATTTACATTGAACACATAGTGGGGTTTCGCATCACGTGACATGTAGCGAGACAAACCAGATCGCAATTCTGCCCGATGGCCTGCACTTTTATATTATTAAGGGCTCACTTTCTATGGTTGCGCACTCGCATGCACGATTTGTTCAAAGCCGAAAGGTTTTTACTCTTTCACCTATATTATTTAAATTAAATAAGCTCTTAACAGCCTACAAATTGGCTGGAATTGGACGAATTCTTTGGAAGTTTAAGGTCCTTGGTGCCAGCGACTCCCCTTCAAATATTTTTTATTTCGTTGCAAGGTTTGATATAATCGTTTTTCCCAATGATATTTTCTGCTTTGTTTCGTAACTTGAATGTTTACATCAGTGGGATGCATTTGGAACCAAAACATATCTACACTCATATTGATAATGAACGTATTTTCCGCCATCGAAGTGTATTTTCTATACAAATAAGGCCGGAGACTCCAACTTTAAATTGGGCAATATCTATTGTAAACTCTGTACCGAACGCCATTAGACTGTGTGGTTCATGTCGCACATTTGTTCTTTTCTTTGCGATTAGAACTCATACATGCGTGCATGCAATGTTATGCACAGCAACGAAAATTCCTAAGAAAAAAGCTAGAGGTTGACGTCGTTCTTAAATTCCTTTCACTTCTTTGGAGATAGCATCATGGCCTAAATTAATCAGAGCGGTACGGGTCGGTAAAACGTGCAGTCTCCTTGCAAATTAGGACGCGGAAGCTCTTGCACCTCGTTCCTCATTCAAGAGCTGCGTGCTCCTTCGTGCACGGATGGCACGTAAAACGCACAACTAAAATTACGATTGTTCCCTTATCTGCCGTAGTGAGTAGCGATGTGGAGGAAAAAACTCAAGGATGGAATGATCGAGAGGAGTATACAGACGACCCTGGACAATAAGGAAGAATTTAAAATTCTCTCTAGGCGTACCTAACAAGTATCCCTCCAGGAAAACGAGCGCCTGAAGGGCTCCACGAAGATACCCATTTTATATTATCTGACTGAACTTACCCTGACGTTTAATTATATAGACTTGAAGATACAATTGTCAAGCTCAATAAACATCTTAATCGGCCATCCATCATATTGAGACAGCTCTCAATGACAGAGATTAACATTAGGCGCCAGACAAAG